TTTCAGCTAGTGGGTATATGTGGTTGTGCAAGTAATTGCACAGCTAGTTGAGCAGTGTCTTGCATCTCTTGCATTAAAGTCTATTGGATATCTGTTGTTGTTTAGTCGTGTTCGACTCTTCGTGACCCCATGGACCAGAGCATAACTGCTATCACAAGGAGTCTTTTCTAGGAAGAGATGATTAATTCTCTTCTAGGAAGACTTAGAGCAGTCTTGGGCCTTACCAGTTTACCCCATTAGTGGAATGATTCATTGTCACTGCTTCCATGCAGGAATGAAATTAAGCAAATAAAATTTTGTGTGCGTAGGTCAAAATTATATGATTCCTCAGTTTCCTCTTCCCTCAGTGTAAATGGCCATATTATTGTTGTTGTTCAAAGTGTCCCATAGAATTAGCTTTTAGTGTTCACTTCTGCAGTGTTCTAAGGTATTTTAAGTGATCATCCTAGTTCAACCTGTATCATTAATTTAAGCATGATGTGTTGTGCGGGAGGATATATATTTAAAAGTGCTGACTTGCAGTGAAAGGCCAAAAGGCTGTTGCTTATTATAGTAAGTTGCAACAATACGAGGTCCACCAAATCAGTGGAACTTACAGAGGAGTTGGCTCACTATTTCCCCAATGGTCCTACTCTGGTTGCAACTTAGCATACTGAGCAAAAGGAATTCAGCCTTTGTAGATGAAAAGTTTGAGATAATAATTTAAATAATGAATTAGCTGTAAGAAAGGAAACTCAAAAACTTTGGGACCCAAATAGTCTTCTTGTCCATTCTACCAGTGCTCAGAAAAGGAACAGAAGGGGAAAAGAAAATACTCTGGGTGAATGACTGCCTACAAAGGTGGTGTCAATATTAGTGATTTGGATTTTGGGATCACAGGCGATGCTTTCTGGAAGATGGACTGATGGCAAGTGATGCATTGCACCTCACAAGGACTGGTATAATGTGTTTTGCTGCAGCATGAAGAGCTTCATCAGAGGGGCTTTAAACTGAATTGGTAGGGGGAGAGTGACACAGAGGTAACGATAAATGAAGGAACCGACTAAACAGTTCTAATGGGGCCCAATAATAATTTTCATAAAAATTGAAGAAGGAAAGCAGACCACAAATCACACAATCTCTGGTATCTATATACAAATGCCAGTGGTATGGGAAAACCCAAGTAGATCTGGAAACCTTAGTTCAGGAGGAATAAGTGAAACCCGGTAGGATGGCTGCCATGACTGGAACACATCAACTGAAAGACAAAAAAATTGTTTAGAAAGAAGAAAGAGAAGTGGAGTTGTAGTATATGTGAATATACACATTCCTGCACAGAAATACAGGAGGGTAAACTTGGTTGTTCCACTGAGAGCCTCTGGAATCATATAACTGGGGTGAAAAACAGAAGGAATGTGGTAATTGGAGCCTTCTACCATCCACCCAATCAAGGAAAAGATGTGAATTAAATCTTTGAAAAACAAACTGCAAGAATTTCAGAGACATTATGTAGTAGTAATGAGAGATTTCAATTATTTTTCTATCTGTTGGGATATAAACTCAGCCAAATTCTAGCTCTTCCAAGAAATTCTTAGCTTGTGTTGTGATAATTTTCTCTTACAAGTGGAAGAAGAAACTAAAGGATTAGTTATCCTTGACTTGATTCTAACCAAAAGAGATGACTTGATTGAAGAAGTGGCAATAAGGGGAACTCTAAGGGGAAGTGACCATGTCCTTCTGGAATTCTTGATTTCAAAGGAAACCAAAGCAGAGTCCAGTCACACATGTATGCTGGATTTTAGGAAAGCTAATTTTAATAAACTCAGTGCTCCGTGATATTCTGATTAGCAAGATAACTAGGTGTGATCTGGATAGAACAACTATCAGGTGGATACACAGTTGGTTACATAATTACAATCAGAGACTGCTTATCAAGAGCTCTTTCTCAAACTGAGATGAGATAACAAGTGTGGTACCACAAAGCTCAATCCTGGTCTTTGTGCTCTTCAGCGTTTTTATTTTATTGGATGAACGGGTTCAGGTAATGCTTATCAAGTTTGTGAACGGCACAAAATTGGGTGGAATAGTTAATACCCTGGAATACCGAAACAGATTTTAAAAATACATCGATAGGCTTGAGCATTGGGTTGAAAGCAACAGAATGAAATTTAACAGTCAAAGTTCTACACCTGGGGGGGCGGAATCTCACAATTACAAAAAGGGGGATACTTGGCTCAGTAATGCTACATGCAAAAAAGGATCATGGAATTGTTGTAGATTACAAGCTGAATGTGGCTGATTACAGTGGAATGTGGCTACAAAAAGGCCAGTGCTATTTTAGGCTGCATTAACAGAAGTATAGTCTCCAAATCCCATGAAGTACCAGTTCCCCTCTATTTGGCACTGGTTAGATCTCATCTTGAGTACTGTGTCCAGTTCTGGACTTCGCACTTTAAGAAGGTTGCTAACAAACTGGAATAAGTTCGGAGGAAGGCAGCAGGAACTGGAAACCAACTCCTATGAAAATGACTGAAAGAACTGGGCCTTGAGAAAAGAGCACTGAGAGGAGATACGATAGCACTCTTCAAATACTTGAATGATTGCTATATAGAGGAGGAGCAGGATCTGTTCCCAATCAATTCACAGATAATAATGGGCTAATATAGGACACATAATAATGGACTCTAGTTACAGGGATCCAGATTTCAGTTGAATATCAGGAAAAACTTCCTGTTAGAGCAGTATCACAATGGGACCATTTTACCTTGGGAGCCTTATAGGCCCTTCCAACTCCATTATTCTACGATAATATGATACTATGATAACATTGACTCTTCTTCTGACACTAGCTGTCTCCTAAGATTGTCTGTGTTCTGTGGTCTCTGGTAATCTAGAGGCACTTGATTTGGGGCTTCAGGGTGATTAATAGCACTAGCTGGATTGCATGTAGACTTATCAACAGTTATATGGAAGTCTGCGTGAAGTTGTAAGGTGATAAGAATCATTGCTTGATGGAATACTCTTCCGAATCAATTATGCCTTTCTCACATTTGCCTGAAAGGCATCAGAATTGGCTGAAATCTTTTCAGAATGCATTCTAAATTGTAATGGTGGCTATTATTTTTATTACTTTCCTGCATTGAAGTGGAAATACTCTCTTGCTGAGTATGACCATTTGACCCAATATTTTCTCAGCAAAGAATTTGGCATGGGGATAGGATATGTTTTATTCACTCACATAACATGTCCTTGCCTTAAATCAGTGCCTAACATGCAATATTGACACCAATTGCCAAATCCAGTGCACAGCAATAAGATCCTCTGAATCACTGAATCTGATGCTTGGATTTTGATTTTAACATGAACTTTAAAATATCAACTTTAGGTTTTGAAATATCTTCCAAATTTTAATTTAGATAAGTGTTCTTTTCAAGTGATAATCTAGGTGTTGTCAGGTTTAGCTGTCAATTTTCTATGTAAGCAAAGAATGTTTTTCTACTCTACACAATACAGTATTATTGTAATAAGACTGCCCATATTTAGTGACTTGCACTTACTCACCAACTGTCAGAAATATGGAACTTCCACCAAAGAATTTAATGTGTTGACATTTACAGCAGGGGAGATGTGGCAGTCTGTGGCAGGAAAAACAACAATGACTTTTGTGACATCTTGAAGACAAACAAGTCTTATGTGGCCTACGCTTCTCTGGGCTGCAACCCACTTTATTAGTTTTATGGAGGGCTGAAATAGTACTTAATGTCTCTGATGAAGTGGGCTTCTGTCCTTGAAAGGTGAAATAAAATTCACTAATCTTCAAGGAACCACAGGGCTCTTTGCTCTTTTCCAGCTGTAAGAACTTTTTCATTATCCCAGATATGTGTCACATGAGGACAGTGTCAGATTTTTTATGACATTGGTGTGTTAAGATGTGCTTCAAGCTTGCCACTCTTAAAGTCCAAATTCATCTGGTAAGCATTTGAGAGGCGATCATTCCAGAACTTTGAATCATAGCAGAGCATAGGATTACTGTTTGTAATATGAACACCTGCAACCATGTGAATCCAAGTGCTGCATCAGCTGTTTGTCTATTAGGAAGACAGCCATTTTTAAGAGCACTGTGACTGCCAGGACCTACAGTGTTTAACAGAATGCTGGTCGCAGTACTTGAGGTGTAATTGATGTCATTGATTGCAGGCCTCAAAGTTGACACATACGGTATGTAGGTGAGACGGGAACTGGCCTGAGTGCATGCTTCAGAAATCATAAATCTGAACCCCCGAGCAGGAAATTGGAACAAACAGTGTCTAGACACCTTAATTCAGACCACTTGTAGCCTATCTGATGTGTCACTTGCTGGGACAGAAATGCTGTCAGATTGAAGGACATTAGGAAAAGGGGAATGGACTTCTGAATTTATGGACCTGGTACCTCTGAACTTCATGGTCTTACTGGTGACATCATCTTTCTCCTTTGGAACGCTTTGTCCTATGTTCTGTTACAACCAAGTGGAATACAGCATTTCTTTTTATTCAGAACAAGTGAAGAAGATGGCAGCAGAGACATTTTGTGATAATTATTATCAATTATTTCTAATTTTATTAGTCACTCTAATAAATGTATTTTTTTAAAAATGGTTAATCACATCCTTCTGGGATTCAGACTTGTATGTAGTGCTGTTTGATGTTGCAAAAAGGGAAGAACTACCACCACCCCTGCTTCTGCCTCTCACTCTCCCAATTCCTCTTTTTCTCTCTGACTACACACCTGCTTGTATGCTTGTAATAGGGTTGAGATTCAGCAAGATATCAACAGATTCATACTCATGAATCTGAGGGCAAAGGCTGTTGCCATCTTCGTTACTTAGTGCTTGAACTGTTCCATCAGTAAAATTGTAGAACAGCTTTAAAAGCTGTGCATGCTTGGGAAGAAATAGAGCAAAGGGACTTGCAAACGAATAGAATGGAAGTGTGTCTAATTTTTGTTAATGTATTTCTCCCCCTCCCTCCTCTCCCTCTCAGTCTGTTCACAGTTCTCCAAGGGTGTCTATGCTATCTTTGGCTTTTATGAGAGGAGGACTGTCAACATGCTCACATCCTTCTGTGGGGCACTCCACGTCTGCTTTGTAACACCCAGCTTCCCTGTTGAGACATCCAACCAATTTGTTCTTCAGCTTCGCCCAGAACTACAAGATGCCCTCATCAGTGTTATAAAATTTTACAACTGCCAGAAATTTACATATATTTACGATGCTGACCGGGGTAAGTCTGAGTAGACAGTGAAACTAGGCAAGTTGGACTAGGAGGGGAAGAAGGGGGAGGTTCAGACTTCATTAATTGCAGGAAGCATGGTGACCATTAAACCAAAGTTCATTTCCATCAGAAATGGACAAGCTAGGTCCATATTGCTATTTATATGTTTCTGTATCTATGAAGAATCCCATTCCCGTCAATGGAGAAATGCAAGTTGCAAGGTCTCTTCATAGACTGAATGGTGCAAGCAGAGCAAGCTAATTGTTGTTGTTGCTGCTATGACTGTTATTATTCTTTCCCTTCCCCTTCTTTGCTCCAGCTGCCAAGATAAATTCCTAATCTTACAAATGAGTAGAGTGGCTTCTTAAGGCAGCCATGGGGAAGGGAGTGAGGGAAAGACTTTAAAAGGGCAATGGACTTCCTCTTCTTTCAGTCCTTATTTAAAGGGCACAGCAAACAGTCAGCTCCTCTCTGCATTTTCCATCCTTTCTCTCTCACATTTTCTCTTCCCTGGAACAGAAATTAGTGGCGACTACAGTGTTTATAAATTAATTTGCAAATAAATTAAGTTCATTTCCAAGGTAAACAGCATATTGTCCAACACCTTATCTTTCTTCGATCCCACCACTTTCTTCACTCTGAACTGCAGCATGTGAATGTCAGATTTAACATGGGGGGAAACATGGGAGATTCCATGAGTGACTCTGGGCTTTTTGCTCCACCTTGTGGTTATCGTGGGTTGTACAAATACTTGTAATTCAATTCATATTTACAAATTTGTCCAAAGACAGTACATATCCCATATATGGGTGCATGTATAAATAGAGAGACATATTGTCAGAATTCTATTAGTGTCTTTTGTCTAAGTCGAATTTCTTAACTTCACTGATAGCTAACAAAGCATTGGTCACATTATTAAGAGAGCAACTTTTGACCAAACAGACATGAACTGCTGGATAGCTCAGTGGCTTAGGTAACTGGCTGTAGAGCCGAAGGCTGGAAGTTCAATTTCCCACTGTGGCTCCTTGATGGGGCTGGACTTCATGAACCATAGGATCTCTCTTCCAGCTCTGCAGTTCTAAGATTATTATTGTTGTTGTTATGTGCCTTGTACAGCATTTAATTCACTGTGGTGAGTTACACAATTTAGCTAAAGCCCATATAAATCACCAACAGGCTTCTCACCTGTACTTAATGTCTGCTAATCTGTATGTATAGAACTTATTAATGTGTTGCTTTCTGCTCTGAGGCTAAAGTAGAGGTAGAGTATATGTGTCCCCACAGGGCACACAAAACCTCCAGGGACCCAAATGTTCCACCAACATCCCTGGTTGGTCCCTATACCAATCTAAAGATTGCTTTTTAAAAAAGGTTTGGCATAAAGGAAGAAAAAGTGGAGTGGAGTTCACTAGAGCATGTGGGGCCCTCCAAGATTCATGGATGGGAAGCCTGTTTGGGTTGGGGAGAAAAAAAATGCCATTTTGCACTATAATCTCCATGGTTTCCCAATTCATTGGGCATGCTGGCAGAGGGATTTCTAGGAGATACAGTCCAAAAATATATCATTTCTAAGCTCTTGTATAAATAAAGGATTTACAAGTTCTGCAGTAGACGTTTGCAGCAATTGAATGGTGCAAGAGAAGGAAATCAATGGGGCTTCTGATTTCTTTCTTTTTTTTCTTTTCCCTTCTCCTTTCCCTTCCGTAACCTCATTCTAACTCAGGCTTGTCAGTACTTCAAAAAGTGTTGGATACAGCTGCAGAAAGGAACTGGCAGGTGACTGCTGTCAATATCATGACAGCCACAGAAAAGGACTACAAGAACCTCTTCCTGAATCTGGAAAAGAGGAAAGAACGGGTTGTGGTGGTGGACTGTGAATCGGAGCGGCTCAATGCCATTTTGAGCAAGGTACGTTCTAGCCTCAAGCACTACCAAGGGAGGGAGGGCAAACAAGAACTGCCAAGAGTTCTGTGTCAACTTAAAGAGGAATTGATTTCTTTCCGCCCAATAAGTGCCATTCGGCTTTGCAAGGCTTTGAAGCTTTCACAGTTGCAGCCTATTATTTTCAAAGTTGAAGTGGGAGGGGCAATGAACATGGTTAACAGGACTTGAATTGTTAGAAATAGACCTTTGTATTGAATATTGGGTCATATTTTTGTTTCTTTATTAATGCTCATGTTTTCACCAAGGGCTTACTTGATACCATAGGACATAAGTCACATGATAGAGTTTATTTGTTCCTTTATCTCTGCAGCCCTCCCCCCCCCCGACAACAGACATTCTTAAAAGTCACATGTGAAAGGAAAGCTACAAAAAAGCTGTTTCCACCTCCACTTCATTTGAATTCATTGAATCTTACCTTTCAGTTTTTCCACAGTTCAGCCAGACAAAATTAAAATGTTTACTTTATGCTTCTAATCTCATAGGTCATTTACTTGAAACAGTGGTTGTTCGAAGTCTGGAACTAATTTTAATTAAATGAATGTGCTATGCCTACATGCTTAGTTTGTGGTATAAAACTTCCAATACAGCTCAGAGACAGAAATGCTAGATTGTTACCTCAATTTCTTTAACCCCTTTCAAAAATGTATCTTTACTCTTTTGGCTCTCCGTTCTGTTTCCCAGCCATAGTTTAGTTTTATTCAGGTGTCTGGAAACCAGAAACTCCCCCCCCCCAGCAATTTCCCAGTGTAAGGGGATGCCACAAATATGATTTTTTTACTCTTGGTATGAAAGCCTCATATTACTGCAACAGCTTCAAAGATATATTAATCAGTTCTTACAGAAAAGAAAAAAGAACTAGATCTGAAAATGATGGAAAGTAAACACAGTTCTGCACGTGACACACAAGAGCAATCATTATATTATACTACAAAAGCAGATGATAACTCGTTAACAACGTTTTCAGAAAAGTCGCTCAGAAAAGCCATGCCAGCAAGCAGGAAGGCAGAAATGTTTGCTAAAGTAAACGGACTCATTTTGCAAAGCCTTCTACAGACAGTAGGCCTGTTCTGATGCATAAAATATTGTCCATGACAAAACAGCTGCTGTGCTGTAACTCTGGGATTAGAGTGTTTATCAAATTAATCTCACGGTTCCCCTGGGCTCCTCCCATCTGTTTATTTGTATTCACCTGTTGTCTTATACCTGAAATGTGATTTATGCTGCTGTGAGCTGCGCTTTCAGTTCTAGAGGCCACCGTTGCAAAGGATTCCCAGTTCTTCAAATAAACCAGACGTTTTAAAAGCATTATTAAAAGCAAAGGCAGCAGGGCTTGACTCTGTAAGGTGTAATGAAGGTGCCAGGTTTTCACCTCTGAGGAACAAATTTTCATCTTTGACTAAAGTGGGCATCAAATGGAGAACTTCCCAATGCAGTCCAGTACTGTAGAGGTTGACCTCCCTCCATCTGCAAATTGCAATGCTGATTCTAACATTTCGACACACAGTGGCATACTATAGTTCTTTTAGAGCTTCACATTTTTCTATATTTCTTTTGATTTTTAAGATGGTTTCATTTAGGCAGGTATAACTAGTGGCTGGTGTGACTGGAGCTCCTTTGAATGCTGATTTATTTAACTGACTCACAAAGAACTCCAAAAAACCCCTTTCAGCCACCAGTATGGCTTTTATAAATTTGAATAGTTCCAAGTAACTGCTATAAATGCTATGCTGTCTTTAAGAACTAGCCATTCTGAAGCCAAAGCACCCAGTATTCCACATTCTCGTGGCACTCTGCCCCAACAGGGCAGACCACATTGAGCATCAATAGTGAAAGAAGAATTTTGGCTGAGCTCCAAGATCTTGAGGGGAGAAAGATGTTTCTGAGGTACATGTGGTCAAGTCTGTTTAACGTTTTACTGCTTGGAAAGTCACAGGGAGCCATCTAATGCCAGTGAGGGCTTACATGCTGTGATTCAACAGCTTTTTATCCAATGAGTCACATCTAGAGAGGAGAGCTTCATGTGTCATACAAAGCACAAAGCACCACACCACAGGTGGTGCTGAGTTCCATGTCCCTCCTCACAGGCCTCCTGGTCTGCTTACTGGGCTCCACATGCTGCGGGGGTCGTTCTGTGGCAGCAGCACTCCAATCAAGACAGGAGCCCAGCTAGCCTTTCCCCAGTGACTGCCCTTTAGGCAGTCAACCGCTTGGGCAAGGATGCAGGATGGGGAGTCTCCCTGCACAGCCAATGAGTACAGTGGTGCCTCACAAGGCAATGTTAATTCGTTCAGCGAAAAACACTGTGTTGCAAAAACATCGTCTTGCAAAACGCGGTTCCCTTTGGAATGCATTGAAATCTAATGGAAAAATCATCGTCTTGCAAAAATCATCCATAGAAAACATCGTCTTGCGGAATGCGGTTCCCCATTGGTATGCATTGAAATCTATTTAATGCGTTCCAATGGGGAAAAATCGTCTTGCGAAAATCATCCATAGAAAACATCGTCTTGCAAAGCGCAACAGTGATCACAAAAACCAATTGTCTTGCGGATTAATCGTCCCTCAAGGTAATCGTCTTACGAGGCACCACTGTAGTTGGCTGTCTGGGGAGGTGGGGAAAGACTGGCTAGACTCCTATCTGCCAAGCCTGCCTGGGTTGGAGAAATGCTGCCAAAGAAGGGCCCCAGTAGCATGATGGAGAAGCTAACTCAGCAATTTCTACTGATTCAATCATCCTGCTCTAATGCAGTTTCCTATGCTAAACAGCAGGAAGGGAGACAGTGACAGAGAGAGAGAGAGAGAGAGGCAGGAGGGAGGATCTTTACCACGTTTTCTGAAATTAATGCAAAGTATCTCTGTGTCAGTCTGTGTTAAACGCACATAAACGGAGACACACACCTACAGAGCAATCATAACAGGATAAGCTAATGATTTTTTAAAAAGAGATGCAAACAAACCATCTGATGCTTCATATTTTTTAAAAATCCCTGAAACAAAGCATCAGCTATCAAAGGTTTGTGCAATATGTTCAAGATACACAATATGTATGTTATGTTAAATATTGAGTCACCAGCACTAGAAAGTATCTTCCTTGGTTGGAAATCAAAAAGAAAAGAATTACAGTGGTGCCTCGCTAGACAGTTACCCCACATGACAGGTTTTTCGCTAAGCATTGACTTTTTGCAATCACTATAGTGATTCGGAAAACAGTGATTCCTATGGGGGAGTTTCGCTGGACAATGTTTGGTCCTTGCTTCGCAAACCGATTTTTGCTAGATGACAATTTTGACAGCTCCCTCCGCACTCAAAACAGGTGTTTTCCGGACCTAAGTTTTGCAAGATGGCGATTTAAATAGCTGATCGGCGGTCAGCTTTCCTATGGCCGATCTTCGCTAGACAACGATGATTCTTCCCCACTGGAACACATTAAACAGGTTTCAATGCATTCCAATGGGAAAATGCTTTTCGCTAGACAATGATTTCGCTAAACAGCGGATTATCATCGTCTAGCGAGGCACCACTGTACAATTTCTTGTCCTTGACAAGCAAGAATTTGCACCCCTGTATTATTTCACCATTTTATGAAATGCCTTTTCCTACACCCACACTGTATTATTTTATTGACATAAACACATATCTGTATACTTTTAAATGATTTTTCTTTATAGTACACCTTCAGTGCTTACTTTTCTATCCAGCAGTTGGAATGTTAACCATTACACAGTGGACAAGAGAACCCATAAAACTACAAGGAATTTTATCATTCATCTAGTTCTGTCCCCCACTCAAAACAGACTGTGCATCTAGCACATATTTGACAGATGGCTGCCTAGCCTCTGTTTAAAATAGAGTGGATCATGACTTGAGCACACGATAGGCTGCCAATAGTACATGGAATCATAGATTCATAGAAAAGTGAAGTTGGAAGGAGCCTACAAGGCCATCATGTACAACGCCCTGTTCAGTGCAGGAATACAATCAAACCATATCTGCCAGGTGGTTATCTAAGTTTTTTCTTGAATGCCTCCAGTGTTGGAGCACTCAACAATTCCCAAGGTAACTGGTTCCACTGTCGCACTGCTCTAACAGTTAGGATGTTTTTTTCCTGATATTCAATCAAAATCTGGCTTCCTTTAACTTGAGCCCTTCCTTTAACTTGGTTCGCAGCCCCCTGATCATCCTTGTCACCCTCCTCTGAACTTCTTCCAATTTGTTAGCATCCTTCTTGTCGCATATGCCCAGAAACTGCTTTTAGAGGAAAGGAAATTATATTGATAGATGCAGTGAGAGACCTCCCATGTAATGGTTTGTATGGCCCCCAGAGACAAAGTGACTCAACCTGGTGTCTGCCCACATGTAGAAATGGCAAGAGCCTATGCCAGTGCTTTTTACAACTGAATGGCAGGGGGAGGTTTTCCAAATGCAACCCTCCCAATTAATTTTATACAAAATGTCTCACCTGACTATTTCAGCCCCGATGTGAGGATATTAAAGGAAAAAGACCTCTGAACGCCTGACTGTTAGCACTCCTAGTCTATACTGTATACTGTACACCAAAGGTAGTGATCTTCCATATTGAAGCCCACTTTACATTCCTGCTAGGCAATGAATCTGGTGTTTATTTCTATTCAGTGGTTGTTGTGGTTGGTTTGCTTTGGTTGACAAAACCCATCTCACAAGCAATGGGAAACAGTAGATTTTCAAAACAAAATTAAATATTTATTTTATCCTAGTTTTGTTTTTTCTTTTCTAACCTGCACTCGTAGCTTAAAAGTAAGAGCCATTTTCTTTTGCCCAAAGTTTATCCCTTAAAGCATCTTGAAGCTAAGCCACAGCCAAGAGTTGGGGGTGGGGGGATGGAATCCATGTCGCAGAATAAACCTTTTATGAAAGATCATGCTGATTTGCAAGTGTTCCCTAACTCATTTGCTTCAGTCATTATTTAATTATCTTACCCAGGAGATCTGCATAGTGTGAAAAGGTGGTGAAGCCTTACTTATTCGTATCCAGAAGTGCTAACAAATGTCTGCTCTGATAACACTAATTGAAGTGCTGGGAGATTAGCGTAGGAGACAGACAGCTTTTAAATGTATACTCAAGAGCATTTCATTTGGAAAAGGCTAAGGCAGGTGAGCCAGGTAACACATGAACAAATGTCCAAAAACAACAAATGTATTTGGTTATAATTGCAGGGCTGAAGTTCTTTATGACATGGTTTGTGTTCCTCTGGATTTCCACCTGGGTATAGATGTGAAATTGAAAACCTATTCACATACCTCGTTTCTGTGGCCATCTTCCCTAAAAACAAAAACAAGAAAAAAGATTTCTGCTGGCTCTGTTCTTGTTTATAGCTGGAAACGCAAGACTACTGATAAGAAAATTCAGGAGGAAGGGGGACAAAAAAGGGCTAAGGAAGGTGCTCATTGCCTAGTAGCTGATTTTTTTTATTCCAAAATGGATAATAGGAAGTCTGATAGGAGCATGGCACACATTTACCCAAACAAATGGGTGGAAATGCAAAAATAGATGAGAAGCAATGCAGCCAACATTGCCCTTTAGAAACAACCTCTTTTGATCTGAAATAGCAATGATGCCTATTATTGACCAAGAAACATGACAGCGCCATGGGTCATTCAACATTTATATTGACAAAGAGCAGTAAAACTGCCTGCATTGAGCCCCATAAATGTCACAATGGTGGGGGAAAAGAATGCTCAGACAACATTCCATGCTCTTTATAGAGGAAAGTCATATATAAAAGTTCCACACTGAACCTCTACTCTGGTTACATTTCAATGTCCTGGGGCAATGTCTTTTTTTTTTCTGAAGACACGGAGTAGCATGGGCACAATGAAATGTGCTGCATCTCTTGCACCAGAATGTATGACTGACCTTTATTCAATATTACTCCAGCTGGAATCTGAAAATGTCTTGACTTTGTAAGCCTAGTGTTCAACAGAATATGGGCAAATTGTTGTTGCATTTATAGGACGACCATGGATTTGGCAATGTCTTTTTTTTTTCTGAAGACACGGAGTAGCATGGGCACAATGAAATGTGCTGCATCTCTTGCACCAGAATGTATGACTGACCTTTATTCAATATTACTCCAGCTGGAATCTGAAAATGTCTTGACTTTGTAAGCCTAGTGTTCAACAGAATATGGGCAAAGTGTTGTTGCATTTATAGGACGATCATGGATTTTGAGTAAATTAAACAAGGAGACACATATCTTGAACACTAAAAATTTTACTTTGCACTTTAATTTGTACTTCCCCATTCATATGCGAACTAAAATGCATGAGTTCTACTTAAATGTTTGCACTTTTCCTAATTTTGTGAGGCAATTCTGCCATCAGAACCTGTGTATAAAATGCATACATTAGGGCAGCGATGGCGAACCTATGGCACGCGTGCCACAGCTGGCACACAGAGACCTCTTTGTGGGCACCCGAGCCATAAGTCACCACCGAGAAATACCCATCCTCCAATCCCGGATTTTGGCACTCTCCTCTGCTGGTGCAGTGGTCCAGCGAAGGAGTGCAATGGGGGTCTAGCCTAATGGGGGATTGGAGGACCAGTAAGTATTTCTTTGTTAATACCGCCCATAGAAAAACACACACAAGCATTTAACAATTGCAGTGCAGGAGCAGTTGTTTTTTCTAAACTAAAACCTCAGTATTCGCGTTTTAATTGCAGTGTTGGCACTTTGAAATAAATAAGTTGATTTTGTGTTGCAGTTTGGGCACTTGGGCTCAAAAAGATTCACCATCACTGCATTAGGGCTAAGTACATGCAGCATGTATGTTGGGGGGAAAACAAACCCAACCAATTTGTCCGTCTCTAGGCATTACACTAATAAACTAAACAACAACATCAACACGACCAACAACAGCAACAACTCTCCATGTTGGTGAGATAAAGAATAACAGTAGTTTGCTGTAAATTTGTGAAGCTCCAATCTAACATAATCTAAGTTTGCATGCCCCTTTTGGGATATATCAGCCATGCATCTTTTACTGTCTCTTGCTCATCCTGGTCATGCAGCAAATGAAATGCTAAGTATATCTACAGTACACAGTTACAGCCGTGTGATGCCTCTTTGCTGTAATAACTGTACATATCTGCTGGAATCCTAGAGCTCGTGGGAAGAGAATTCTAAATACTTCACCACACTAGAAATTCCAGGATTCCATAGGAAGGAGCCCTGACAGTTACAGAGGTATCAAATTGCTATAACTTACTCCCCCTTTCTCTCTCCCGGCAAAGGTCTTAAAGTCTTAAAGGTCTTCTGGTTTAAATTTGAGGACTGTATTTCAAAAGATCTTCTCAGTTGCTCTAATGTACATGTTTCTTTGAATCGTAAACAATTACATCAGAATATTGTTAAGTTTCTTTTCTGGAATCCCCAAAAAGTAACTTTCCAAAGCTCTGAGGGAGAAATATTGGGAAATTCTTCTCAATTTACTGATCAATGATGGTGTACAATTAAATATTTTGTGTTTCATTTTTACAGATTGTCAAAATTGAAAATAATGGGAAAGGATATCACTATATTCTTGCAACTTTGGTAAGCTGAATCTTGTTTGCTGCTTCATGCATACAATGTATGTTTTCTGATTGGTTTTCGGGTTTTAGTGCAATGTTACGTGTAACACCCTGGAAACAAGGGCTATAAAACACACTTGTGAGTAAACATCTATATGATTCTGTGATTGTCTGAGGAGAAAGTAATAGCTTGAGTATGCAACAGTGAAACATACAGGTGTGGTATTCTTCAACTGATTACATGCAATGACATGCCTAGATATGGTCTTCACAGTACTGTATTTTGCATTCTAATAGGATGCACAAAAGCAAACTGCTTGAATGTACATTATATATAAACTTAGATTAAATGTTGTTGCTACATGACGTTAAATCACTTATGACAATTTTATGAATGAGTGAGCTCAAAAATGTAATGTCCTTAACAGCCATGCTCATCTCCTGCAAGCCCAAGGCTGTGGCTTCTTTGATGAAGTCATCTATCTCATATTTGGTCTTCCTCTTTTCCTGCTGCCTTCAACTCTCCCCAGCATTATTGTCTTTTCCAAAGAATTTTGATTTCTCATGATGAGTCCAAAGCATGACAGCCTCAGTTTCAATATTTTTGTTTCTGGAGATAGTTCAGGATTGATTTGATCTAGAATCCATTTCTCTTTCTGGTAGTCTCTCCTCCATATCCATATTTGAAATAAATCTTTTTTGTCCTGTCAAATTCCTTCACTGTCCAGATTTTACACATGCACATAATAATTGGGAATACAATAATGTGGATTATCTTGGCTTTGATCTCCAGTGAACATTCTTATGCTTGATGATTTTTTTTTTTAAATCCCTTCATTTGCTGCCCTTCTGAGTTTCAGTTTTCTAATTTCTTGGCTGCATAATCAATTTGGATTGATGACTGCGCCAAGTTATAGAAAATATTTTACAATTTCAGTTCCTTCATTTCCTGCCTTAAACATTATAGTTCTTCAATAATCATGATTTTTGTCTTCTTAATGTTCAGTTGTCCACAATACAGATTATACATCTGAACAATCAAGTGCTGAGGTACACCCATATCTATCCAAACAATCCATAATTTCTCACGATCAAACAGTCAAAGGCTTTGCTGTAGTCTATAAAGCATAAACTGGTCTTTTTCTGATATTCTTTGGTGCACTCCAGTAACCGGCGGATATATGCAATATGATCTTGAGTGCCTCTTCCATTTCAGAATTCAGCTTGAACATCAGATATTTCTTGTTTAAGGTAAAAGCCTTTCTTGCAACACCTTGAGCAAATTAGAGCAATGGTCCTATAGTTTCTACACTCCTTGGCATCTCCTTTCTTGGGAATGTATATTGAACATTTCCAGATTGTGGGCAATAGTTTTGTTTTCTATATTTGTTGGCACATACTTGTTAGAACTTTGACAGATTCAATCTCTGAGGTTGAAATAGTTTGATTGGTATCCCATCTACCCTTGGAGATTTCTTTCTTCCTAGTGTTTTTACAGCTGCTTTCACTTCATTTTCCAGAACTGCAGCATTTTCATTATAAGATTCCTCTCGAAAGAAATCTGTCATCCTTTTATCTGTTTTGTATAGGTCTTCAGTATACTGTTTTTCTTTTTTTCTTTATTTGATTTTGGTTAGATATGGTGCTTCTTTGTTGGTCTTTCAGCATTCCTAATCTGGGCTTAAATTTCCCTTTGATTTCTTGGATCTTAGCTTTGTTTGTTCCTTTTGTTGTTCTTTTCTATTTCTTTATACTGGTTGTTGTAATAGTTCTCTTTTTCTCTACATAACATTTGCTATAAAGCTGCACTCAGGTTTCTGACTCCATTTCTGTCACCTTTTATTTTTGCTTCTTATTTATTCTTTACCATTTTAAGTGTTTCTTTCATCATCCATATAGGGTTTTTTTTTTTTCTTTTTGCTACAGGAATTATCTTTTTGCATACTTCCCTAATAACATATATAACATTCCTGATTTCAGTTCACAGTTTTTCTGGTTCATGGTCAGCTGAGTTTAGCAATGAAAATCTGTCCTTTACGTGGACTTGAAATTCACCAGAAATGTTGTTTAAATTATATTTTGGAAGTAGAATTTTTTTAGTGTTCTTCAGTTTTACTCTGATGTTTGATATGAACAGTTCAGAATCACTACACGATCTCCTCCTGATCTTGTTTTGGCAGAGAGAATACAGCTTCTCCATCTACTAATTCCTGTTATGTAGTCTATTTGATTTTCTTTATTGGTCACCTGTATACAGTCTGTTCAATTGAGTGCAGTATGTATTTGTGAAAAACATATTGTTAGCTTCACAGAACTCTGTGAGTCATTCCCCTGCTTCATTTTTGACCCACGACTGATTGCAGTTGGAAAATAGAAGATGGGATGGAAATAGAGGCTTGTGATACCTTTGTCTTTCTCCTAATTCTCATCAACTAAAAATCAATCTGTATTGGGATGACTTTAATTCAAACAGGATCTTCTGTTCTGTCCAAAAGTCCTTTTAAAATTTCTAATAGGGCTTATATTCAGACATGGGATCTTACTTGCAAATTGCGCGTGCCAAATGTTGTTTTGTGAACTTGGGTAGAATGCATTCAACGGGTCCCAGTACAAAGACTGCTTGTACTCTTCTGTCTTTTAGTTCTCTGGTGAGACTGCCAATGATTGTTCAAGGGTTTGTTATTGTGTATGTCACAGCCACATGGCTTCAATATGTCAGCACTTTCAAACTCATTTAATCTAGGCCACCACACAGCTATAAGCTGGCAGTAATGACTTCCACTCTCCACTAAACTGCACTGCATTTCAGACTGTGCACCAAAAGTGAAGTGTTCCATGTCCCATTAGTAATCCCAGGAGCCCTCTCAGCAAAAGAACAGATTGGGGCTTCAGTCAACTTTAATATCCTAGTTACCATCTGACTCACTGGTAAACATCGTCTTACTGAAGAATGGGCAAGTTCAGGATTGAAACAATGGGCACGGTTTTTCATCATTTTTGTTTCAAATTAAACAAAGACCTCATATAGCATCTAAGTGACATTAACTGTCACTAGTTATTCTGAATATTAAATAGGAGTGGGAAGAAGCAGGGCCCCTCAGAAAAGAAAGAGAAGATGCAAATATAACAATAAATATATAGGAAGAGCTTCTTTATTAGGCAAACAGGACTAGACAAAGGATGATGTAAAGGAGGGTGAGACTCCTTCCTTCCTTCCTTCCTTCCTTCCTTTCTTCCTTCCTTACTGCCTGGCTGCCTGCCTGCCTGCCTGCCTGCCTGCCTGCCTGCCCTAGCCTCGTCCTGAGTACAAATGAACTGGAAAACATGCCTTGGTGACTTTCTGTGGACTGATATAGTGTTTCAGAAGGCTTGGCATTTATGGGAATTGCTGGCACCAAGAGCACACAGTGGGCTCATTGAAGCTGCCTCCACATGGTCAAATACTGTGGGATTTGCTGCAGGTGTAAAATGTATGCATTTGCTTTTTTAAAAAAATGATCATATGACACAAGGGAGAATCTTACCCTTTTTGCTCCCAAGGCAGAGGTGTTTTTTCTCTGCCACTAGAGGCTTCTATTTTTTTTTCAAGCCAGAATGATTCAAATTGACTTTTCCTTGTTCACACAGTTGTTACATTCTCCAAAAGGATGCAGGGGTTGATGGTGGGTGATATTCTGGTGACATACTAAACTGGGTGTGATGTTTTGGACAGCAGGGACACCCACCACCCATGATCCTTCTCCCTACTTACCCTGAAGTTTTTTTTTAACAAACTGTGGAGTTTAGCAATAGAACACCTTATCACTACAATGATATACTAGTTTAGCACTAGATCACTTTTGCATGGACAAAAAAATATAAAAATAGATATGAAATAGCAACAACTCTGATGAATTACATCAGTCTAATATGTTTTCTCACTGTGTGTGTACATGTTTGTATGCTGTGGAGAACTTTGGAAAACTGTCCCTTTTCCCTAACACTATGCAATACTTTCAACAGTCCACCAGCTTTAGAATGAAGGAGAGCCAGGGATCGGCATACAGCAGGATCAAAGGAAGAGTTGCTCTGGGTTGTAGTATGGAGGAAACTGCATTGGGCTGAGGGGCTACTGTGGACACTGGCAACAAAACAATCCACAGCCTCTGTGTGATCACCTAATCCATTGCTTGTCCCAGCTCCTGCCAACCTAGCAGTTTGAAAGCATGTAAAAATGCAAGTAAAATAGGTACCACCATGGTGGGAAGGTAACAGTGTTCCGTGTCTAGTCGTGCTGGCCACATGACCACGGAAACTGTCTTTGGAAAAATGCTGGCTCTATGGCTTGGAAACAGGGATGAGTACCGCCCCCTAGAGTCAGACACGACTGGACAAATTGTCAAGAGGAACCTTTAATTCAAGCAGAAGCAAAAAAAAAAAAAAAAAAGGCTGCAAATCAAACCACAGCAAAAACCAAATCACTCCAGTTTGGCTTGGCTGTGTAGTTGCATCCTGAGACAGCTTTGTGTACGATACTTCCAAGGAACTCTTTGTGTAACAGAAGGTGGAGCAGCCACCAAAACACCATCTCAAGGGGAATTTGCATTGACTGTGCAACATTTGAGGAAGGCTGGCAGATGCTGAAAGTGTTTCGCTACCACTAGCACAGGAAACTACAAGCCTCTTGGGACACCTTTAGCCCACTTCTTCACAAATTTCTGCATCTCTTTAGTTACCTCATCACCTGGACAAAAAGGCTCTTGAATGTCTTTATTTGGATTAGATCACTTAAAATTAGTCTTAGCTGTCCTTGAGTTATTCAGAGAAAGGTGAGGTACAGAGCAAAAATACATTTAAAAAAATGCTCAGATATACTGGTTGCACCTAATTTGTCAGCAGCGATATGTGTTCATTCAGATGAGTGATTTCCACACCTCTACATGTAAGCAAGTGTCGTACAAAATGAGTGCTTTATTTCTACAGACAACAGAACAGAGAAAAACATTTTCTTTCTGACAGGAACAACTTTTCTAACAAAATGAT